ATCATATTTCATTGTATGCATGTATAAAATTCTCAAAAAATAAATTTAAAATAAAAAGTACCACCTTACAATGCTAAAGCTAGCCAAATGTGGATATTTGCTCTAGAGTGCACTCAATATTATCTTAACAGATAGATTTGCCTTAAAAGAATCTTGATCCAGATTACTACAAAAACACTGTACAAGACCTAGAGTGAATCTACAATGTCTATCCAAACCTCCTCCCTGAACACCAAAATATTACCTATAAGTCTCAGGTAAGTTTTACAATATACAAGTCTCTTCTTTAACAGACAAACCCACTCTACAATGTACAATTATCCTACTTTGGGAAGAATAGACCTAAACATATAATCCCATCTACAAGTTGTCTTGGCACACAAGAGAGACAAATCTCACAATGTGTAGACTAGCTCCATAATATATAGATGTAGGATATGGTAGCTAGACATAGTCTATGACAGAAAAATTTTCTGATAAGATTGAATTCCCATGTACAGAGTTACCTCAAAATGCATGTAACCATTCTGAAATGTATATAAATGCTTTATAAAGAAAGTATGTTTCTATCTACACAGAATTGCTGTAGGACTCACACTTGACCCACAGAATCAATACCTATACCACGTTTTACAAATAACTCTTCACTAGTCATGCCTTTTACAGCAAAGTTTTACCCCACAAGCACTCTTGACTCATCATCTGGGCATCATCTATAGTGTACTTGCTCACTCCCAACAATGCCCTGGCAAACTTTCCAAAAGAAATATGCATTTGATAATGTACAAAATACTTACAAATTTTATGGATACTCCTTATAGTCCCACAGTTACCATATTTCTAGGCCTTCCCTTATATCTAGACTCACTCTGAAAAACCTAGGACCAAATCACAGCATACAAGACTAAGCCTGTATTAGATTGTCTAAGCAATGCATAATTCCCCAACGTTTAGCCTCAAAAATGCAGAATTTCCTCACAGTCTCGAATCATGCCACATCAGTACATGATCTGAAATGCACAACATATGCATGGAAACAGTACGTAAGGATACTGATACCCAAGCAGTAAGACACATACACCTTAATGGGCAAACATACAAACTCAGTCACCAAACACCTAACAAAAAGGCCCACAATTCATGATGCACTCAATTGGTGTGTCTCACAACACACAGAATTGTGTCTTAATTTAGACTGAACTTACAGTATAATACACAGCACAGGCTCCACCATACCTCAAGCTTACACTTATTCAGCCAAATTCTTTCGAACTCTAGCAAACCTCATACCACATTTAGAGTTAACCTACGTATTTCAGGCTTGCTCCCAGAACGGACAGAACTGGAATGGATCACAATCACTAGAAATGACATGCTACGTGCAGGATGAACCCTGCACTTGAGGTCCTTCATCCCTGTTTGTTTTACATAAAGACAACATAATCTAAAGTGTTAGGCTTGGCTTTCTCTAACATAGCATCTTTGGAGTGATATGCTCCAACATCTGGATCTGCCCTGAAACATAAGGACATGCTTTATAGTTAATGAACATCACTTGTAATGCACTTGAGCACATTTAGAAAATTATAGTCATGAAAGCTATGGCACCATACAAAACACATTGACCTCACACCAAATGCACAATACCCATAATACACAATTCATAGAGCCAGTCTGCAATCTATGGCTTTACCTCAGCAGGTTGCCCTTGCCTCCTTGGACACAGAATGCAACTTTACAGTTCACACACATACTCCATTAAGCATAGACCAGCACCACAAGAAATTCCCCCAGAGGGTCTTCAACTTACTAACTCTTCAAACCACCCCATTCTTTTTCATAACACCTAGAATCACATTTCTTTCAGAATGACATCACACAACACGAATACTTGTTACTCTAAACTCTAAAATACAAAGAGACTGCCTTTTCAACAGATTTTCTCTACCACACCCAGACTCAATTCACCTTTTCAAACTTGCCCGACCATATCTAGCCTTGTATTAGCACACAGAGATGCACTGAGCAGCCCAGAAATTAACGTCTCCATGTTCTTCTTAGACTCATGCACTATGCACATACCATGGTTCAGAATAAAGCTATGCCTAGGGAGACGTAATCCACACCATGCATGTGATACAGTAACTTGCCCCAAATTTGACATACTTAGAGATTCATCTCATGAGAGAAAACTCACCATACTATACTGAAAGTCTAACAATGTCTAGCTCTTTATATATTGATATTCATATGCCTCAAGTATCTCTCTCTCTCTCTCTCTCTCTCTCTCTCTCTCACACACACACACACACACACACACACACACACACGGGCATAATTGTGATCAAAACAACTATACGAACATGCTCATACCTATATGCAAAAAAGTTCTGCTCATCATTAAAACATGTAAATAAGCATGCACACACATAAATGCACACAAATCAAGACATATGGGTATACATACAGATGCATAAGCACATATCTATGACAGAGATGCATAATCACATGTCTGCACACACCAACAAAACAAAAATGGGTTCATGAAGAAATTTCTACATGCATAGTAATACATATATTTATGGAGTTGTATATATAGGTAAATTGATCAAGGATTTACATATTGATACACACATTTACAGAAACATTGAACTAGACAAATAGACACACAGACACAGGGATGCTCCCAAAAATGTATGTAGACAAGCATATTTATATTTTTATTTTTACAGAAACTCATTGAGATTAATAATTAATAAGAGTATCCCGAAACAGATTCACACAAATCCAGTCATGTACAAAGAGTCAGAGTTGTACATACCCATATCTATATATAGAGATGGCACAGAAATGTGTACAGAGGCAGAGTTGTATAAACAATCTCATAAACTTGCAGAATACAATGCACTAGTATACAAACACTGCTCCATAAGCACATACCTATACAAACACAGAGGTATACAGATTCAATCAGAAGCAGATGTATCTATTAAGCCTCTGTTTACAGACATAGAATTATGTGAAACCACATCAAGAGTATACAGTATGGCTTCAAAGATACATACTTGGGTACTTTGTGCATAGTCATATGTTTAATGCAAATACTGATGGACATTTATACCACAGAGGCATGCACAAAACAAATTCATGGACCAAGATATACATTTTATAGGCATCCACAATTCTTATACATACTCCATTCTCACATCTAATGTGCCTACCTAGAGACATAAACATTGACACATATATGCACTGATTCAGTCAGCATCACACAATTTCATTAATTTGCATGTAGACACATTAGTATTAACATACAACATGCTTATGTAGACATGCAGATATTCACATGGACATACATGTACACAATGCAGATAAATATGTAAATAACACTGAAGGATACATATGAAAAAAGTTATAAGATACAAGTCAAGAGAATTACTGGCAAGAAAGTAAAAGTATACTTATGTACACATATCCTGTGTATACACAGATAGAGGCACAGAGGCTTACATAGATGAACATAGGTAATCAGAAAAACATGTCCACACAGACACAAATACTACATTGTATGCATAGATTAATGCAGAGATAAATATAAGGAATGCAGAAACAGTTCTCCAGACTTTTGTACCCACTTGGATAGAGATACACTAAGAATCTTTGCAAGCTTGTGCACACAGTGCTCTATAAATGCACTAGTTTATGTAAATATAATTGCAAATGCAGAAATGCACTTAGATGTCATACATTTTCACACAAAAATGCCAAGGTAGACCATATCTTAAAGAGATATGCATATTTATTTAAAAATAACAAAATACATAAAAATACATTTGTAAACATATACAGACTTGTAAATGCACACATGTACAGATACTTCCTTACACGTTAATGCATACATGTGTTGCTGCACGTACTCTGTCACAGTGATCTACATATGGTCTCCTAAGATTTTAATGATGCACAAATTCTGTGTATACATCAAACAGATGCATACATAAATATATACACATATGCCAAAATGGGTGTATAGATGCATGTAGGAGTTCATGCTATGAATAGAAGCAGACCTGCACACACACAGACACATGTGGATTTATATTGTGAAAACATAGATTTTTGATGACATAAATGGACATACAAATACTTTTAAAACAAACTCATAGGTTTTAATGTTTCTTAGCCTTTATTTTCAGTCTCTTTGAGAGAGCAACAATTATCAACTGTCCTCAGTTGACTATACCATATGAACGTAGGTGTGGAAATTACCAGAAACATCTATAAGACATATTTAGGACACATGATTGTGTACACACACATCCATATGTACAGAGTCATAGATATAATTCACATGGAAGCATAGAAATAGAAATGTGTTTAGACAAAGGAAAATGCATACATAGATATGCATATCTATCCACCACCAAAATGTCATACTTTAGTACTAAGATGGTAGGTATTGAAATTTAATATGAAATGTATTCTATATCTTCATCCAAGTTCTGGCACTTAATTCTGAGTGATGTGCAGCCATTTTTCTGCTTTCTCTACCTGTGACATAGGAGTAAACATAGAAAACATACATACATAGCACTTACCTTTCAGAATTTTTGTGCAATGGAATGCTTAGCGTTTTGCTTGGAATATCATACATGTAGTTGACACTGCCATTGTTTTTGTTGTGTTAGATACAAACTGTTTAGCTACATAGGATTAGATTTTTATAGTTAATTTGTATTATATCATAGACATATTATTTTTGTATTATTGTAAATGTACCAATAAAATTAATTTATTAACAAAAATAGACCACAGTCATGAACAAGGTCATTTCTGAAATTCTCAGAGATGGTTAGAATAAGCTGCTGTCCTTGGCAGAGAGACTCCAGATTTGTTTCCTGGTACTGCATATATATATATATATAAACAATTAAGCCACGTAGGTCCACATCAGTGAATCTTTATTGTCCCATCTGTAAGTATTATTTTCCTTTCTACAGGACCTGGGAAGATGGAGAAAGGGCTTCATCGATGGTGTACATTTGCCACCTAATGACCAAACCGAGTAAGTACAGTACTAGTGCATAACCACAATTTTCCCAACTACTTAACACCCTGGAAAGATGTGTACACGAGTTAACATGCACTACATCATAGTGGTTTCTGCTATGTCTTGAAATGCAAGTAGTAATCAAATAAAATTTCACCTTTCAGAAAAACCTAGCCCCATTTCCTTTCTTTCCGGGTTTTTAGAGACTGTTCTCTACCAGTGGTCTTCACACCTGCTAAAAATGTGCCACCTAACAGCACTTTGAGAAATTCTTGGCTCCAAGGATCACTATATTTCTAATGCTCCTCTTTTTCTTCTATTCCACTGTGGATTGAACCGAGTCTTACATACACTAGGAAGGTGTCCTGCCACTGAGCAACGTCCCTAGCCTTTATTTTTCATGTTTGCTAATGTGAGAACTCAAGTAACTTTTCATGTAAGTAATTAAAAATAAATAGAGTGCATATTTAAGTCACAAGTGAAAAACCACACAGTGGCTATTATCAAGAAACATGTTTTAGTCTGAAGTGATGATGCACACCTGTAGTTCCATGGCTTGGAAGACAGAGGCAGGGATATTTTAAGTTTCATGCCAACCTCAGCTTAAGGCCAACTTCAGGTATGTAGTGAGATGATCTTTCAAAAAAAGATTTTGAGACGTGAATGTAGAAAGAGGACTACTTGAGAGGAGTAAGGGAACCAACAGAAGTGAGGGAGGTGAGAAGATAATGGGTAAATATGATCAAAAACAATATCTCCATTTATGTGTTCATGAAACCTATTGTGTATAATGTATACTAATGAAAAATAGAAGACAGACCAAAAACATGATTGAACTAAAAACGTTTTTCAATGATTTAAAAAAACAATAAGTAAAATTTTAATAGACAACTTGAATACTATCTCTAATTTCATGAAAACAAAGGACCCCATGATTTATGAAAAGATGCATTGGAGCAATTGATGTTTTCAATTTTTAGGAAGCTTATCAGAATAGCTTTACCAATACTTATCAAATGATTATTTGACTAATTATACTTTGACTTGGGAAAATTCATTTTAGCCTACTATCCTTACTAAAGATTGGGAGAATCAAAATACATAGATCAATATGTGCTTGCCAAAGCAATAATTTTATTAAACTGCTTTGAATTTACTATATACTTTAAATATAAAATTTAAAACTACAGATTTGAATCAATAATTTCACAGAAAATATTCTATTATAATTTAATTGGAAAAACCACAGTTTACATCAAGATAATTAGCCAAATCAGGTTTACTTTTGAGAATATCAAAATGAAAAAAAACAATAAAATATTTTAGAGTGGTTATCAAACACCATAGAGAAATTAATTAAAAATACTTCCTGATAGATAACAAGGTAAATATTAGATTAAAATAATGGTGATGTATTTTATCTATTTGAATTAATAAATTATTTTTGTTCTGGTATGTAGTTTTAAATTACTATATAGCTGACATTGTGCCTAATGAATCATTGAATCTGATGCTGTGTGTGTAGCTTCCTTTGGTAAATATATATGCATTTGCTTTTAGCACATTGATGCTGAGTTTATGAGAATTGTTGATTGTACATAGTGACCTTTATTGGAATATAGAATTAAAAATTTCAACTATATGTTATTATATAGAAGGTTATATGTTGCTAAAAACTAAGTAGCATTTTTTATAAATGTGATATAGGTAATGAGGTAATTTTAAGATGAAATGAGAATTGATTTTAATTGGAAAAGATAATACAAAATATACTAAGAAAAGTTTTAAACTAATTTAACTGAAAAATAACATTTCTATGCATAAATTTTGCCAGTATAAATATTTTTTAGTGCTGGAGAACATCCAGTTATAGTTAAAAGAATCCACTAGTGATAATTAGGTTTATTGTTTTCTATTGAAAACAAATTAGTGATTAGTATTGTTGACAACTGGAAAAAATAATGCTTAATTTTAGCATTTTGGGTGAAATTGTTCTAATGTGGACCATTTTAGGGAGAGAATAGATATGAAAGTTGAACGTCTGAAGGTAGATTCTCTGATTCCCTACTCCTGTAGTTCTTAAGAAGAATTCATGCATCAGTAGCCAACTTTGGAGACCACTATTCTGGACTGTCTCCCAGCAGGCTTAGTCTAGATCACTATGTTATTGTCATTATTGAAATAATTGGCTTACAAGATTGGAACTAGTTGCCATGTTTGAACTCCTGAAAATGCTTCTATGATTGATCATGTTTAATCAAATGTTCTGGGATGGAATAATTTTGTTGGCTGATAAATACATACACTGATTAGGCCGACCTCAGCCAGTATAGGAGATATAAAAACATGCATTGACACCTGAAGCCTGGCTAGCACAGTGATATTCGGCTCTGCTGAGCTAAATAAATACAATGAAAATTAATTTCGCTTGATTTTTTAAACTTTTTTCAAGTGTTACAACATGAAAAATTTAATTTAAACATATGTGATTCACATTATATTTATTATGTAATAGCACACATATTAGTCTAGAAGTTCTAACCTCTCAAACCATAAATATGGAAAATTAGGTTCACAGCCTAGTCACATGTAGTATATTTCTATTCTGATGTTACCAACACCTTATTCTAGTATTTGTGATTCCTTCTTGGGAAATTTTTAGTTGTAAGTAGGTAAAATGAAAACAAAACCAAACAAATTCCAACAAGATGAAGAGTATTTGAAGAGTAATCTTTTATTAGCACCTAGAAATTTTCCTGGTATGAAATTGAGAAGGCTTCGCAGTGGTTGTGTGTGAAACATCTCAAACTTCTGAACTCCTGGAAGTGACTTCTTTTATATTATACTGAAACTTTGAGTGTTTTACCATACCTGGAATGTTGCCAGTATAACAAAGATGTAATGCTAAGAATAAATCTACTTGTAGAAAATTGTCACACAATGCTTTCTTATCCATAGATTTTAATTTTATATCTGCTGAAAGAGCTTTAATAACACTTATTGGGGGGGTGTCTATCTTTAGTATAAGTCAAGATATAACCACAGCCATCATGATATTGCGCACACACACACACACACACACACACACACACACACACACACACACACGGTGATAACTCCCAGTCATCTGTATCTTGGACCAGTGTCACTGTAGAGTGCCACTGATTAGCAGTTATATTCTGATTACATAGGTATAGAAACATTTAAAAAACAACATAATTTGTCAGTGCAAAAGGATTACATAGGGCTTTTGCAATAACATTCCCTAGAGAGGTAAAATAGAACTTCAACTGAAGCCACTAAATGCCATTGAAAAGATGACTTCCAGGTCACCTTGGCAGTATTTTATATTTCTGACAGAGATAGTGATTAATCATTTACTTTATCTCACATTGTACCTTCTATATTGCTGACCAGATGGTCAATGGCTCCCTCTCTGCTCTTCAGCCCTGACTAGGCTCAGAAAATTAACTTCATCTCTCTAAAACTTTCTATCAATAGGGAATTCCTGATCTCTTCTGTGGTAAGTAAGGTTGCATTCAGAAGGCTTTCCCAGTGGAACTGTGCTCTATGGAAGTCCATTGGAAAAAATGTGTGTGTGTGTGTGTGTGTGTGTGTGTGTGTGTGTGTGTGTGTGTGTGTGTGTTACGATGTAAATTACTTAATAGAACTTATGAAAACATTCTCTGTTGAATATTTAAAAGCCACCAATTACACCATATTTATTTTAATATGTAGGGCACTTAGCTTGATTAATGTAAGGCATTCTTGTGGCATTCCTGTGAGAGAGAATGGTCTAAATATTAAAGTAAGTTAATTTCCTGTTGGCAAAGTAAGGATAAGCGTTTCAGTCATTTGAGATTTGCTCTTAGGTTCGTGTCTCAAATCTAATGTACCAAAAGACAGGAAAGGGAAAAAGTCTTTTTCCTGCAACTGATCAAATGGACTCCCACTATGTATTTTTCTTTCTCTGTACCACTTACTCATTTGTTAAAACATGCGCCTCTTTTAAATGCAAGTAACTACGTGGATTATTCTGCCCTACAGAAAACTAGATTGTGAAGGCATGGAAAGCATCAAGTGGCAAATGGAGAAGGTATCTGCTCTGGTGGTTTTGTTGAGAACTTGAGTGTCTCTTCTTCTACTACAAACCCCTCATTTGTCACTTCATTTTTTAGGAGATGGCCAAGAGCACATGAAAAAGTAAATATAGATAGGACTGAGGAACTCTAGTATCTACACTGATTGTGAATGGGAGTGACCATGAAACCTCCTTTCATCCTTCATGCCTCCCTAATCACCACAGTGTTAACAGTGAACACCACAAGCTGGCAAACAGAGGGAACCATTAATCACAAAAATAGAGTTTCGTTTTGCTTCTAGATTTTTAATCTTTTGAAAAATAGCCATTGGATGTGCATGTGTATGTGTGCATATATGTATATCTCCATATATATGGGGTACAGTATGACTTTTGGTATATCTTCACATTGTGAGATGATTACATTAAGTTCATTAACAAATTCTTACCTCATATAATTATAATTTTGTGGTGAAAACATTTGAAATCTTTTAAAAGCAACTTAATAATACAGCATGTTGTTACTAATTGTGGTCTCCATGTAGTATAACAGATCACTAAAACTTCATCCTATTTATCTTGAAACTTTCTGCCCTTTGATCAACATCTTCCTTTTTCATTTCCTATGGATCATATTAAATCTGTTTAGTATAATAAGCTAAGGTGTAATATATTGTGTGTCTAATAAATAATAGTCCATTGTGCAATGTAGAGTGTGATTTGGCATGCACATGTTGCATCCAGCTGAATGAGTGCAGAACCCAGTATGTGAGATGACTTTTTGAGTCTGGTCACATTCCTGGTAGATTTGTACAGCCAGCACTTGTCACAATGGCTATTCACCTAGAACCGTATGATCAACAGTCTTTTCAAGGGTTCAATTAAATATGGTGATGGAAATACTGTTTACAGATGTATCTGTGGAGGCTATTTA